AATACGACTCTGGGGCTGTTAAATCGAATGAATAGAGGAAAGTGACACCCAGAGACCGCACCACACCGCATCGGAAAGTGAGGCAATTGTCAACCCACTCCCCATTCTGCAATGAGTCATAGGTACACACGAGGTACAGAGCATCGTGAGATCTTATCTCTCTCTCACTCTCCGAGCAACGAACCTTGGGCTAAGTAAACCCCAGCCTAGATTATGGCGTAGATAATATCGTAGTTGTTGCCACACTCTGCTCGATTTTCGCTTATTTTCACAGTTCCTAAAAGCGAACGAAATTCTCTGCTAGCAATTATTTCTGTTGACAACACTTCCGCTTTTCCTTTTGCTTTTCCTTTTGCTTTTGCTTAATTAAATTTTAATTTATTCATGCACATTAGTCAGAGACTGACGCACTCACTCGCTGAGGGAGAAAGATGTGAAATGTTCGACACAAATCTCTGATGTAATAACATTCCCCTTTCTCTTTGTAGGATGCTTTGCCACGCGCTACTTTGTGACCTTCATGCTCTTCCTGGGCATGGCCAATGCCTATGTGATGCGCACCAACATGTCGGTGGCCATTGTGGCAATGGTGAACCACACGGCCATCAAGGTGAACGATGAGGAGGCCGTCGATGAGTGCGGAGACCGTGATTTGCCCATTGTAAGTTCCCCTCGGACGCTACCCACTCTAGCACTTTCTAACCCATTCAATCCTTACCTTTTAGGACGATTCTCAGGATGGCGAGTTCGCGTGGAGTTCGAGTCTTCAGGGCTACATCCTGTCTTCCTTCTTCTACGGCTACGTCATCACCCAGATCCCCTTCGGCATACTGGCCAAGAAGTACGGCTCGCTGCGCTTCCTCGGCTATGGCATGCTCGTGAACTCGGTCTTTGCCTTCCTGGTGCCCGTGGCCGCTCGTCAGGGCGGCGTCTGGGGGCTGTGCGCCGTTCGCTTCATTCAGGGGCTGGGCGAGGGCCCCATTGTGCCCTGCACCCACGCCATGCTGGCCAAGTGGATTCCGCCCAACGAGAGGTCTCGCATGGGTGCCGCCGTGTACGCGGGAGCTCAGTTCGGAACGATCATCTCTATGCCGCTCTCGGGTCTGTTGGCTGAATACGGCTTCGACGGCGGCTGGCCATCGATCTTCTACGTGTTTGGCATCGTGGGCACCGTGTGGTCCATTGCATTCCTCATCTTTGTGTACGAGGACCCCAGCGCCCATCCCAAGATTGACGAGCGCGAGAAGAAGTACATCAACGACGCTCTCTGGGGCACGGATGTGGTCAAGGTGAGTCCTTGCGTGAACAGACTTTTGGCAGCAGAAACTAATTTTTGGATTCTACGCAGAGTCCTCCGATTCCGTTCAAGGCCATTCTCAAGTCGATGCCCTTCTACGCCATCCTGTTCGCCCACATGGGCCACAACTACGGCTACGAGACTCTGATGACGGAGCTGCCAACGTACATGAAGCAGGTGCTCCGCTTCTCCCTGAAGTCGAACGGTCTGCTGAGCTCGCTGCCCTACCTGGCCATGTGGCTCTTCTCCATGTTCATCTCGGTGATTGCCGACTGGATGATCAGCTCGAAGCGCTTCACCCACACAGCCACCAGGAAGCTAATCAACAGCATTGGCCAGTACGGACCGGGCATAGCGCTGATTGCCGCCTCCTACACGGGCTGCGATCGGGCCCTGACCCTGGCCATTCTCACTATCGGCGTGGGCCTCAACGGTGGCATCTACTCGGGCTTCAAGATCAACCACTTGGACCTGACGCCACGCTTCGCCGGCTTCCTCATGGCCATCACGAATTGCTCGGCGAATATGGCGGGTCTGCTGGCACCCATTGCGGCGGGCAATCTGATCAGCGATCACACAAAGGTAAGAGAACTAAAAGCTGATTTATATCTCTGGCATCCCTACTAAAGTGGCTTTCCTTTCTCTCGTGCAGCCCATCATGGGACAGTGGCAGATTGTGTTCTTCATTGCCGCCTTGGTGTACATCGTTTGCGGCACCTTCTACAACATCTTCGGCTCCGGCGAGCGCCAGTACTGGGACAACCCCGAGGGCGACGAGCAGAAGGCGGCTCTCAGCAACGGAGCGAATTCCTCACCAGCAAGGCTGAGCATGCCACAGGCCATCACCGCTACCGAGTCCAGGCAGTAGTATTAACCTGTGACCTCTGTGCACACACGCTTAGAATTAAGTTCTTGTTTTAGTTATGTATGTGTTAAGCAAAGTGTTGTTACTACGGATAGTCAGCCATCATCGATAGATATTCCTCAGACAGCAATCGTCAATTGAGAAATTTGTTAGAGTAAACCGAACCCCAGAAGCAAGGCCACAAAATGTCGCAACGTAGTTGGGCGAATCGAGCAGCGAGTGCTATTTAAATTGTAAATGCTTATATATTTAATTTTCTTATGTGATAGAGACAGAGTTTAGTCTTCTAACTGCTAACTGCTAACTGCTAACTTCAATTGAAAGGAACGCAACCAAATATATCAAAGAATTAAAAACTATCATAGCTTAAAGCTTAAAGCCAAACAAACCCCCCCCTCGAAGTGTTTCAATCGATTCCTAATTCGAAATTAATAATCAGTTGTCGACTGTCAATCGACTGGAGACATCTGGAGCATAAAAAGCCACATGCAGGACGCCCAATGGCTGCAGTCCAATGTCCAATGGGTCACGAGGAGGAACTAACAGCGGAGCAAGTGGATTTGGGTGTGTCCGCACTGAGGGGCTCGCTGCGGCGCACTTGGAGGGACTTTTGCGCCACCAGCAGTATCCACGGATTGAGGTACACCCGGGACGAGGACACCAATCGGATTGTGCACTTCGTGTGGCTGCTCATCTCGCTGGTGATGTTCAGCTGCGCCGTGGCCATGGCCCACACCTTCTACGTGGACTTTCGCAGCAGTCCGACCCGCATGAATGTGGAGAGCGACTACACGCCCATCAACAGCCTCTACTTTCCCCCAGTCACCATTTGCCCAGAGGTGCTCTTCAATATGCAAAAGTCCAAGGCGTTTCTGGAGACGCTGTGAGTGGCACAATGAGCCCCATTGAGCCCCCCGATTGATTTATTCTCCTCTCTGTTGGTTGGACAGGCGACTGCCTCAGGGCGCGGATGTGGCTGGCATCCTGCGGCAGCTGAACATTTTCTACGGCTTTATGCTGGACGATGCACGCTTTGCCGATCGGGAGATCGAGCAAATGGAGTCGGTGCTGTCGCTGAACAATCTGACACTTGAGGACTTTGTCGAGCACTTGCGCTGGGACTGCCGGCAGATTCTGCACCGTTGTCGGTACCATGGAAGGATTGTGGCCTGCTCAGAGCTCTTTCAGCTCTCGAAGACCTTCTTCGGCAACTGCTGCTCCTTCAATCTGCGCCAGCAGGGGTGAGACTCCCATTTGGATGATTGCTTCTGCTTCAGAGACTCCCTGATTCTCTTTGCAGACTCAACTTCACCGCTCAACGAGCTGCTGGAGGTCTGGGCAATGGCCTGTCGGTGATCCTGCGGTACCAGGACGACAACTACGACCCCTTGCAGTCCTATTCGTATGGCGTGATGGTACTCATTCAGGACACCAGTGCCTTTCCCAGTGCCCACGCTGTCTCGAAGTTCGTGGCTTTCAACACGGAGGTTTTCGCCGCCCTGCGACCCGAGGAGACCTTCTGCTCGGCGGCTGTCAAGGCCCTGACCATCGAGGAGCGAAACTGTGTCCTCGGCAATGAGTTCCATCTGCGCTACTTCCCCGACTACGTCTACCCCAACTGCGAGCTCAACTGCCGCGTGACCAACATGGTCAAGTTCTGCGGCTGCCACACGTACTTCTTTGACTTTAATCGCACCGCGGATCGGATTTGCTCGTTCCGGGATATTCCCTGTCTGGTGGATAACTTTGGTGGGTATGCCAGCCAGGCGAGAGAAGTAATAGATCTATAGCTAGCCTCTCCGCTTACAGCCAACATAATCACGCGAGAGAGAAGCACTCAATGCTACTGTCCACTGACCTGCGAACACTTTGACTACGATGTTCAGATCTCCAATTTTCCGCTCCATACCAATATGCCGGTGGTGGATCCCTTCTAGTGAGTTTCCCCTGTGGCTAACATGTTCCTCTGGTTACACAGCTTCCCCCGTTGCAGCTCGGATATAGCCGAGAATGATGGCATTTTGCATGTGTTTATCAACTCTTTTAGCTATCGGCGCGTTCGCCAGGATCTGCTCTCGAACATGGTCACTTTGGTTTGTAGGTTTATCCAACAAAGAAGTTGTTTTACTTCCCCTAAATCTTGTGCTTCTTTTGCAGCCAACCTGGGCAGCGCCTTCAGCCTCTTTGTGGGCATGAGCATGCTCTCCGTGGTGGAGATTCTCTACTACTTTTCGATTATTCTCCGCAAGAACTATCTGCAGGAGTGTCGAGCACGCACGAATCTGCTGCAGATGCTGCAGCGGGAGGGCCCAAAGTTCGCCCAGCCCAAAACAAATAAAAGTCCCAACAAATCCGTATTCATAATTCACAAATCGTAATCAGAGTGCGGAAAAACTCAGCAATAAATTAGAGCATTACAATTATCGCCTCAAAACAGAACACAACAAAATCTGATCATGTTTGTTTGATGTTTTCGCTGGGTATGCCCATTCATGGCAAAGGTTACCCCAAAATCATAAAATAAACATAAAATGTATAAGCACATGTGGAGTATACTTATCGATCGCATTGAATTAAGTATTCAAGGACTGTCCGTCCACATTTGTATCTACACAGAAACTGTGAGTCGAAACCCTCCGGCGCGATGGAGCGGCCTGTGCGTGGCAGAAATTTGCTTCGTTATCAGCTATTGCCATAGGTCAGCCGATGTCCATCGTAAATCTGCACTCACTTCAGGGGACCATCTGCTCATCGTAAATTGGACCCAAGCGAAGAAAAGCCACGCGATAAGATTGGGTCCCCATGGAGGGCTGGCTATAAATGTGAGGATCTCGAGGGCCATCGTCTACAGTCATGTTCAAGTTCAGTTTCGCATTGGCACTCTGTGTGCTGGCCGCTGGCTCGGCGCTGGCGCAGCACAATCCCCACTGGTGGGGCAGCCGCAACACAATCGTCCATCTCTTCGAGTGGCAATGGGAGGACATCGCCGAGGAGTGCGAGAACTTCCTGGGTCCACGCGGCTTTGCCGGCGTGCAGGTCAGTCCCGCCAACGAGAACATCGTGACGCCGGGACGGCCCTGGTGGGAGCGCTACCAGCCCATCTCCTACAAGCTGATCACGCGCTCGGGCAACGAGGAGCAGTTCGCGGACATGGTGCGTCGCTGCAACGATGCGGGCGTCCGCATCTACGTCGATGTCCTGCTCAACCACATGTCCGCAGACTTTGACGGCCAGGCCGTGGGCACGGCCGGCACTGAGGCTGATCCCGCCACAAAGTCCTTCGCGGGAGTGCCCTACACCGCCGAGGACTTCCATCCGAGCTGCCAGATCTACGACTGGAACGATCGCTTCCAGATCCAGCAGTGCGAGCTGGTGGGCCTCAAGGATCTCGACCAGAGCCGCGACCATGTGCGGACCAAGCTCATTGAGTTCCTCGACCATCTGATCGAGCTGGGAGTCGCTGGCTTCCGCGTGGATGCCGCCAAGCACATGGCCTCCGAGGATCTGGAGGTGAGTTCTCGCTCCTGTAGCTATTTCTCATCACTAACTCCCAGTTGATCGTTCGTTTAGTTCATTTATGGCAGCCTGAGCGATCTGAAAACTGAGCACGGATTCCCCCACAACGCACGTCCCTTCATCTTCCAAGAGGTGATCGATCATGGCGGCCAGGAGGTCACCCGCGAGGAGTACAACAGCCTGGGAGCCGTCACCGAGTTCCGTTTCTCGGAGGAGATTGGCAACGCCTTCCGCGGCAACAACGCCCTCAAGTGGCTGCAGAGCTGGGGCACCGACTGGGGCTTCCTCTCATCCGGGCAGGCACTCACCTTCGTGGACAACCACGACAACCAGCGTGATGGCGGCGCAGTGCTGACCTACAAGACCCCCAGGCAGTACAAGATGGCCACCGCCTTCCACCTGGCCTATCCGTACGGCATCAGCCGCGTCATGAGCTCCTTCGCCTTCGACGATCACGACTCGGCCCCGCCCCAGAACGCGCGGGAGGAGCTCATCTCGCCCGAGTTCGATTCGGATGGCGCCTGCGTCAATGGCTGGATCTGCGAGCACCGCTGGCGACAGATCTACAACATGGTGGGCTTCAAGAACGCCGTTCGCGACACTCCAGTCACCAATTGGTGGGACAATGGCGACAGCCAGATTGCCTTCTGCCGCGGCTCCAAGGGCTTCATTGCCATCAACAACAATCTGTACAGTCTCGCAGAGACTCTGCAGACCTGCCTGCCCGCCGGCGTCTACTGTGACGTCATCTCCGGCGATCTGATCAACGGCTCCTGCAGCGGCAAGTCCGTCACTGTGGGCCACGATGGCCGCGCATTCGTGAGCATCGGCTCCGAGGACTTTGATGGCGTTTTGGCCCTTCACGTGGATGCGAAACTCTAACACAGAGCACAGAGCTAACGACAGAAATATTGCCTTTATTTTGTCTCAAATTACAATAAAAACGAACGCATATAATGTATGGTATATGTGTGTGTATATAGTATGTGTGTATGTGTGTATGTGTGTATGTGTGATGGATCGCAAGATCGATAACAAGAACGGTTACAAATACAAAAGGGTACAAGTAAAAGTACATTCAAACACTGGAACTGGAGTTAGTCTAACAAATGAACGACAACATCTATCCATCCTCAAGGGCTCTGTCTTTCTATATCCTTCTAAGCGGATAGAACAAATGCGTAAGCTCGTAGTCCTCCTCCGATTGATCGGCAGCCGACACTCTGCAAAAAACCATCATGCTGCAAATAGAAGAAGGTCGCATTATGAAAATGTAGTTGGCTGCTCTGGACTCTGGACTCTGGACTCAGTTAGCACTACAAACTGTTCAAGCGTGCTGCTACCGAATTTAGTTTTAGTTTTAGTTTTAGTTTTAGTTTTAGTTTCGAAAGCAAGCAACTACAAATCAAAACAGCAACGATTCTACAGGCATTCAATTCTGGTTGGTTACGAGTCTCGAGTGCCGGTCACATACCATATACGAGTACGAGTTCGAGTACATATTCTGGTACATGTTCGTGTATGTTGTGGTTAGAAGTAAATGCTCATAATGCGTAATGCGAATTACCTGTAAAATGCTGATATCTTATGCATAATAAATATCTTGTAAATAATGATACTTGGATTGCTTAAGTGTAGGATTTGCTCTGTGGGATTTCGCTTAACCAACAAACACAGAGTCCAAAAATGTCGCTCAAAGTTTAACATTAAATATTCATTTGATAATGCGCGAGTTTTTGTCTTTAAGATTTAAGTACGGCCCCAAATCCAGCTTCAAGTACACACGTTTGTACGTACAATATGTGTGATCTCTTTCTTAAGAACAAACTATGTAAACAATAAGGACATTTACATGTCTCCCCACTTGCAATAGCCGCGCAGTTCGGTTACATTTAGATCTTACGAATACAATCTGCATGGGGCTTACATTTATATTTATTTTTAAATATTTGTATTATGTTTTGCCACCTCCAGATGGAGTGTTTCTTGTATATATCCTATAGCTATACGCATATACAACAGGAACCACGTAAAAATGCACAAATACTTAACGTATGTTTCCACAATAATTACAACATCAAAGTTTGGAGCTCCATCCAAGTCCCAATACATATATTATCGTAATACTCTATATAATAAATGTTTGTTGATCTATTGTTTTAAATAGTAATCAGGTAAATCGTGGGAGGAATTATTGTTTCACATACATTTGTAGATCGTTTAGAATAACAATTTCTAATCAACTATGTCTCGACTGGATCGAACCTCCGGTCCGACTGATCAGCAGTGTTTCCCTTCTATAATCGAGGAGGAGGAGGTACACAGATTGTACAAACTGGTACTTCGGGTTGGCCGAATAGTGCCCGGCTTGGGGTAGAGCTTTTCGAAACGGCCTAAAACCAGAACCATTTTATAAAGTTTGATTATTGAACGCCTTGAGTTTGAATTCTCACTTAAGCCTACAGACAACACTCTTGCGATGAGCTTGAGATTAAACATTGAGATTGTCAAAAACATATCCAAGAAGATACATATAGAGATTGCCGCAATGAATTCTCATGAGGTTCACAGTAAATGATTCCAATATCCTATCTAAGGGGGCCCGGGCCTCCTTCCCGCCTAAAAGCTCTTGCCCGCCTCATGGATGCGCTTGCGGCGACTGTCGCGCCGTCGGTAGCGATCTATGATGCGGGATCGATGCCTCTCCGGGCACAGGGCCTCCGGCGAGCTGTCCACCTTCTTCATCACGATGCGGAACGTGAAGGTGTGCTTGGGCGAGGCACTGGCCGCTCGCCTCGGAGATGGTGGCTCGAACTCGCTGCCGCTGGAGAAGCCGCAGCTGTGGAGCTGCCCCGGGGGCAAGGCAGCGGCGGAGGGCACGGCGCCCGGCACGTTGCTGCTGGGAATGCGCGGCGTGCCGTTCGTGTAGCCCGAGGGGGTGGACATGGAGCCCGTGGACAGCTGCTGGGTGAGCACGGAGCTGGGACGCGGCTCGAAGATGGATGCACAGCGCTGGTCGGTGCAGAGGAACGTCTTCACCTCCTCCTCGCGCTGGTCGCGCTCCCGCTTGATGGTCAGGGGGAAGTGCTTGCGGCTGGGATCGGCATACGGGCCGTGGCCATGGCCGTGGCTGGGTCCGTGGCTGGGTCCCTGGTACGAGGAGCTCGAGTCGTAGCTGTCCCGCGAGCTGTAGTTCGAGGACGTCTGCTGCGAGAGCGGACTGCGTGCCCGCGAGAAGGCACTGAAGGGTGAGATGTGCAGCTGGCGGAAGGTCTCGGCCTTCTGCTTCTTGGTCATCAGCGGGAAGTTGGGCGAGCGGGCGGGCGTGACGCCGCTCGTCTCCGAGGGCGTGTAGTCGAAGTGCGTCTCCAGCGAGGACTTCCTGCCGCAGGAGGAGCCCGACCGCTGGAATGTCTCCGCATCGACCAGCTCGATGGAGCTCTTGCGCAGATCCACGGGCCGTCGGTGGCGCTCGTCCGTGTCCACGATCTCGAAGCTGGAGGTCTGATCCTCGTAGCTGGTGGACTGGTAACGCGAGATGGACACATCGAAGCTGGTGTCCCGCGAGGAGTACGGGCAGTCGAAGCTGGACTCGGCGCGGCTCGACTTGCGGTCACCCTCGACCATCTCGAAGCTGTCGCCGCCCGAGTCCAGACGCTGCAGATTGATCAGATCCGTGTCCGTGTCCCCCCCGGGGCTGCGCAGCTGCTCGAGGAAGGGCGAGCGTGGCGGATCGAAGGAGGATCGACGCGACGGCGGCTCAAACTCAATAGTAGGACACTGCAGCGGCTGCTTGACGGGCGGGGCCGAGGCTGCCGCCGCTGCCGTTGCAGCTGCAGCTGCAACCGCCGCTGCCGCCTCTGCCACAGCCTGGGCGGCGGCCTCCGCCTCATCCGTTTCGCGCCGCAGCGCCTGCAGATTAACATAAACTGGTTCTGGCGCATAGGCCTTCAAGATCTCTACTAGCTCGGCCCGCAGCTCCTCCGGGATAATCAGATCGTTGGAGTCCGACTCGTGCTCCTCGCTGATTCGCGGCTCGATGGGCTCCCGACTCTCCGAGCGGCGCGTAAAGTGATGCACCACAGCGGCGCCTCCCTCTCCATTGAGGGCCACCACCTTGAGGGAGTTGGTCACCTCCTCCACGAACTGTGCCATGGCGGCATCCGTCTGCTCTGGCTCTGGCTCTGGCTCTGGCTCACCATCCGCCAAGGCTTCGACTGAGGCTCCGCCTTTCGTGTCTGTCTCCTGATCCGGCTCGACTAGCTCCCGGAGTCGCTCATGCTTGATATAGGACTCACCTACCTTCTCGAAGTGGACATTGGCCAGCTCGAAGGGCAGCTCCTCGCCCGAGGCCGATGCTGAAGCAGAGGCCGAGCCTCCTGAGCCACCTACCTGCTCTATGATCCCCGCATTGGAGTCCGCGCTGGGCCGCTTGGAGCCCGATGCCGAGCTCCCCGTCTGCTGCTGCTGCTGCTGCTGCTGTTGTTGCTTCTGCTTCTCCTCCTCGTCCCGCTTGGCGGATCGCCGCAGCTTCAAGCTCATCTTGGTGTAGTGGGCAAACTTGAGGGACATCTTCGGCTCGAATCCCACCTCCGACATTTGCTTCTGCACGGCGCTCTTCGAGGCGGTGGACGAGGGAGCCGGGCTGGCCGAGAAGGTGCTCTGACGGATCAGTGGGCCGCTGGAGGAGCCCGACTCTGCCCGCGTGAAGGCGTTGGCGAAGCGATTCGTTCGCGTTGTCATCACCTTGGAGGGCTTTCGCACAAACGCCAGGATCTCCCGCATGACACTCTTCTTCTCCTGCGGCTGTGCCTGCGCCTGCGCCGCCTCCTTCTCCCGCTCGTGCTCCCGCTCCAGCTCTCGGGCAGCTGCCTCCGCCGCCTCTCGCTCCCGCTCCGCACTCTTGTAGGTCTCGGCCGGATTGGAGACATGGATAGGTGGAATGAGTCCCATGCCCATGCCCATGCCCATGCCCATGCCCATGGGGGAGCGCTTCTCGCTGGCAAAGTAGATCGGTGTGAAGAGGCCGATCGAGGGTCGCTTCATGCCCACAAAGCCCGCCTCCTCCGGCTCCGTGGCCATGTCCTGCACGTGGACAGTCGACGTGGGACTTCTCCGGGAGGAGCCGGGGAAGCCCGTCTGGCAGCCGAAGTCCGTGGGCGCATTGGCGCCCAGCGGCGAGCGACGCTCCTGCGTGTGCACACTGAAGGTGGGACTGCTCCGGCGAGGCTCTCCCGTTGGGCTCCTGGCAGTGGGACTGGGCTGGTCGTTGGGCGATCGCAGGCCGCTGCTGCTGCCGGGGAAGAGCGGACTGCGCCGGCCCTGGGGGCTGCGATCGCTGGTGCCCACGGGACTGCGACGACCCTGGGTGCCCAGGGAGATGGACAGTTGTCCGCTGTTCTTGCGCCGGCTGGAGGCCCGCAGAGTGCCCTGGCGGGAGAGCGTGGTGGGCGTCTTTTGGGAGCCGCTGCCCGGGCTCTTGGACTCCGGCTCTGTGGGCACCGGACTCTTGGGCGTCAGCGGACTGCGCTTCTTGTCGCTGCTGGCCCCCGCCGCGGTGGTGTTGAGGGTGAGGTTGGGGCTGCGCCGTTCGGAGGGGCTGCGTCGCGAGCGGAAGGACTGCGACTTGGCCTTGCGGATCTTCGGCAGGGACTGGTGGTGGTGGCGGTGGCGGTGCTGGTGGGGCTGGGAGGCGGACGAGGAGGAGGAGGGGCCGTTCAACTTATGTTAGTTGCTGTGAGGGGCGCAGCTGGTGGGGTCGCTGCTGCCGCTGGAGCTGAGGGTGGTGTTGGAGCCGTAGGGGTCCAGCGAGCTCTGCACAGACATCGAGCGTCCCTGGTTCTGCCGGGCGCGCCTCACTCGGCTAGAGTTGGGAGACAGCTTTCCGGGGTCGATGCTTTCTGGGTCTGCCTGCAAGTTGTAGAATCAGACATAAAGGGGGACAACAGGATGGATGGCATGGATGGCATGGCATGGATGGATGGTTGGATGGATGGATGGTTGGATGGCATGGGGATGGACAAGACATGGACATGGACATGGACATGGACAGGACAGATAGATAGATAGATGAGGTGTGAGGTGAGTGAGTGATACTGAGTTAACACGAACAAAGCCAAAAGCGGGGTATTCCACAAGCACTAAAGCGCACAGCAACCCACCTGGTAGGCCAAGGCATTCATGATGATCGCGTAGGGCACCAGGCTCAGCGGATGGATCTCTCGCATCAGCACATTCGCGGGTATCTTGTGGAACTGTATGTACTCCAGGAATGTGCCCAGAATCTCCTTGATGTCAATGTTCTGCAGAGGAATTAAAGTTTCACTTGGAATGGATACAAAGTTGGATTTGCTGCCACTCACTGGATTGTTGTCGTAATACTTTTTGCTCCACATCAGCGCCGCCTGGAACTTGGTGAACTCGTCCGCACGCAGCTCCTCCCTGGCGAGGATGAGGCGCACGACGTGCTGCGGCAGCAGCGTGAAGCTGCCCAGGTTGAGCACCTCTGTCCCGTGCTCGTCCACGAACTCGAGCACCTTCTGCACCAGCGTCTTGGTGCATTTGTACTGAATGTAGCGCTCCGCGGAGGCCAGCAGCGCACAAACGGTGTCCACATTGATGCAACACTGCACGAAGCCTGCGCAGGCGCGACGCAGCTCCTCCAGGCCATAGTAATCGGCGGCATTCATTACACCTAATAGATAGAGAGCAATTCCTCTTGGCAGGGGTCTTTTGAAGATTCTACAGGGATTCTACACTTACCCAGCAGAGTGCGCGGCTGCAGCGTGACACAGCCCGTGTGGATGTACTCGATGAGCTGGCGGAAGACGTCGGGCTCGAACTCCTCAATGATCAGCGTCTGATGCTGCTGACCTGTGGGCTAAAGTCGATCCAAGCGCGGGATTAGTACACTGTGACACTCGTGAGGGGAGACTACATATTGGAGCTAGCAGAACACGAACCACTAAGCGGATGGAGGGGGAGCAGTAGGAGTAGGAGCAAACGGTGTTGGTGCAGGAAGTAAGCCAAACTAGGGAACACATTGCACAGATAGACAGGAGTACATAGATTTAGAGAGAGCTCAGACTAGACATCGATGTGGAGGAAGTTCAGTTGGGTTAAGGAGGTTGATGGCATTCCTGCGCATTCCCATCGGAGGTACTCCCCCAACAATCACTTAATGCCTAATCCAAACATCCAAATGGTGCAGTAGTAACGTGCAGCACTCTTTAATGTCACAAAAGCATTGTCCTGCACATCCAAGAATAACACAAAAGTCTATTTATGGTACATTCGAGAGCTAGGACTAGCTAAAAGCTCGTGAAAGGATTAAATGCAGCCACAGACCCACACACAGATGCAGAAACGAATGCAAAAACAGACACAGATGCAGATACAAATACAAATGCAAATACACCTACGCACACAGACAGAGAAGAGAGCGAGAGAGTTAGATAGATAGAGAGAGAGAGAGAGAGAGAGAGGTTGAAAAGACAGATGTTTTGGTTAGTTGGTTAGTTGGACATTTACCTCGGTTATCGGAGCTAATTGTTGGGTGAAACCGGTTCTCTATTGGGTTGGGTTTCGGTTACGGGTTCGGGTTCGGGTTCGGTTTCGGGTTCGGACAGTGGGTGGGATAATTGATATTGATGATAAATTGATGATAACAACAGAGAATGCACGAGAACATTGATACGCATCATTAAAACGGATTATCAGATATGCAAAATGTAAGTTATCGTAGATATAATAATGAGTAATGTTATACGCGAAATAATGCAAGTATGGGGAAAGTTGAACCGAAAGTATGAATAAAACCCCACGAAACCCAATGAGGCACGCCACAGGAGGCCACAGCAGGCCACAGCAAAATGCAAAATCACATCACACCCACACACACACACACACACAAAGGATGACTCCTTTTAGACACACGAGAGGGTAACCACACTACCCCCTAGGGTAATCGATTATGAATGAATACATACATACATACATTACATACATAAATACATATGCTGTGCGGATACGAACCTGTTGTGCGGCATTCTGTAGATTCAACAGCGGCTCCGAGGAACGCTTGAGGAAGAGGCGCAGCTTGTTCTCCTTCGTGGATGTCTCCCGCTTACGCTGCGGCGATGGCGCCGCATAAAGCATTTTCGCAAACACTCGGGAACGGGAGGCCAGCACAGCCTGTTGGATAGGGAGAGAGAGAGAGAGAGACAGTGAAACTGCTTGAAAAGGGAACAGCCATAAAAGTATTTCAAGTAATTCTTGTCCAGCAAGCTCCACTGTAACTGTAACTGTAACTGTAAATGGGGGTTACTGTTAGGGTCGAGGCTGTTTGATGATTACGCAGTGACCTGATTTCAATACTCGGACACACACACAAACACACTGACTGCCCTTTTCGAGTGGGTGGATGATGATGATGATGATGGAATGGGGGGAGGACATGAACATTCTACATACCTTTACAGCACAGACGGGCTCTCGGGTGTCGCCCACCAGGAAGGTTACATCACACAGCTCCGGCATGGAGGCGAGGAACTTCATGTCCTCGGCCAGTCCCGTTTTGTTCTCGAACGTCGATAGGTCCGGCTCTGCGTCAGCCATGCCGAGCAGTAACAGCGCCTCTGGCATTTGGGTTTACTGCAATCACAAGCACAACGCACACAGGCAGAGTGTGTGTGCGGGGGGGAGAGAGGCTTTAGCATCGGAGCAAAGTTAATTGAAAATTCTATAAATAATTCCTCAATATATCCCCATACACGGGGAGGAGCGCTACGAAAGCGAGCGCTCCCTATTGATCCTTTGAGACAGTACGGCTTGCTGGCTGGTAATTAAATTGTAATTCACTTGTACCAGCCCCAGTTCCCGCATCCGGCCAATCCCAAAACAGACACGCGTCTGCGCCCACCCAGCCCCAGCCGTGCGTGTCGCACCTGCCCCGCGTGTGCGTCCTTGGCTAGCATACACCTAGCTAACTGGCAAATAAAGTGCAATTACCATAAAGGCAAAAGGCAATGGGCGAACGGTGAACGGTGAACAGCGAAAGGCATCCTGGAATGTCATCAGACAAGGTCCCACAACACAGGCTCACAAACAACACCAAAGATCGGGTGCGGGTGCTCAGGGTGGGGCGTGGCAGCAAGCAGCCTCGCAAAGATTGTTGCATACTTCGGGAAAAGTTTTGCTATAAGGTGAAATGGGTGGAGTGGAGGGGGTATGGTGGAGAGGGCATGCACATTGAAAGGTCAAAAGTGGCACACAAAGGGGGTAGAAAGGAGAAATGTAATCAAGTTTACCTGAATGTTTGGTTAAATCTAAATGGATTTTGTGTCCCACTGCCCACTGCCCACTGCCCACATCGTATGTACTTACCTGTTGCAATGTGAATTCGTCTACTGGCCCACGCTGGTAGATTGTTATTCACAGTACGGACTGTTCATGTCCGTTTGCTTACTAAATTATTGAACCATGACGAGTGAGTATTACTGCAGTCCCAAAGTGAGCAAAGTAGGAAATTAACTTGGAAAAAGTAGCAGGGAACGAGTACGATTATTTACACCAAAAATGGATCAAGAATTAAGTGCCACAAAAGAGTGTACAGCATGCCAATATGTATAAGTTCAAGTTTCAAATTCAAATTCAAATTCAAATTCCGAATGGTGGTGACTTTCCCGAGAGGGTGGTGGTGTCGGGTGTCGGGTGGAGTAAGCCAAAAATTGTGCTGTGTATATGTGTGGGTGCTCAAAAAGAAGAAACGGGAAACATAAATGGGGAATACATTTTGAGAGAAAAAAGTTGAGTTGGAGAAGGATAGAGAGAGGAGAGGCAATTAATTGAATTAGAATTAGAATCCGTTTAGATTGTGGAAATTATGATAATTTTCGCTTGACTTTCCGCCTTGAAACTAACTTTTTTTCTCTGCTTTTCTCAAGTCGAACGAGCTCTGGACTGTAGGAGCCGTGGGCTTCCCGTTGGGTGTTTCGCTGAGGCGTCACTTTCACTCTCACTTTCACCACCCAGAAGTCTCGTGTGCGTGTGTGTGTGTGTGTGTGTTCTTGTGCGTGGGTGTACAAATGTGTGGCAACTGAAAGACAACAAAAGCAACACCACTTCGTGCCACGTTCCGTCACTCCTCTCCTCTAGCCCTGTCCGCCACTTTCACGCAGAATGCAAATAATTCTGATGCTGATGCTGATGCGGATGAACCTCAAGGGCTAACTTTTGTTCCAGTTGCAGTTGTCTGGCCGCTATTTCGGTCACTTTTTAATTTAATGAGTTAATTTTTCTCTATCTCAACATATACACACACACACACTCGTTTACACACAGAGACACAGGAGAGAAAAAGAGAGAGCTGAGCTTCGACGGAAGCGCTTTTGATGTGAAGTAAACCGTTTCGCACGAGGCACAGGAGCGTTCTGACTCGAATCCCTGCCACAATTATTGTGTCTACATCGACATCGAATCCACACACAGAGTGGAGACTCCTCTGCGCATGTCCTCGACCAATCGATACGTGGCCTACGGGTGGGTGGCTCCTGGCCAGGCAACAGTTTGTCCTCTGTGGCGTAGGAGGACCTGGGGAGGCCCGCGCAACGTGGCCACGACCGACGCGACGCGACGCGACGCCCATACCAGACCAGACCACACCAGACCACTTGTTTGCTTCAGTCTCGGGGCACGCGCCTCGTGTGTTTATGTCCCCATGGCGCAGGTGCCGTGCGAGTGGCAAACGTAAACAATGCCGCCCCGGCTCGATAGAGATGGCAGTTGGATGGCAGGACAGTAGGCGGGCAGGGACATGCGCCCCACGGTGCCGTAACTGTGGCGCCTCTCGCCACTAACGTGCTTCCCAGACAGAGTCCCGTTTCAGCGCTAAACAAACCAATTGAAATGCGGTGGCAACCCTCGCACATCGGCAGGCCACTTGAGCAGGCAAGCAGAGCAGACCCTGTACCCTGCACGCAGGCCACCAATGCAGTCACAGTGGGATGCGTGAGCAGAATTTCGAGTGAAATAATATTGAAGAATTACTTCATATCAGCTATAAGCAAGATCTAAACTGACCCACACATTAATCATCATCCCACTGCAGGCCAAAATAAATATGTATCTTATTTAGTTTTTCCTTCCACTGTGATCAGCAGAGGTCGCCAACTTCCGCTTTGCCTGCTTGGATGTCGCTGCCGGCGCTGCTGCTTCTGCTTCTGTCTCTCTTTTGTTCCCTTTCTGCCCTCCGCTTCGGTCGACTGCCCTGTCACAGAGCCATTAATTACTTTCGCAGCTTCGCCGCCAACAGAAGACGAACCACAACAACCGAAAGAGGAACTGTCGCGCACTGAGTGCTAAAAATAGTTTCCCCCTCAGGAGAGTCAGACATGCCATAGATCTTAGGGCTGATCGGCTGGGAACTCTCAGCGGCAGGTAGCCAGAACTGTGCGTGCGCCGCCCTGACGCCGCCTTCCCGCTGTGACCCATTGAGACCCGCTGAGACCTGTGGGCAGCGCTGGTCAACGCTTCCAATTGCACTCGCACTTGACACGGCGCGACAAAATCAAATAAATAAACAAACAAACAAACGAATGAGCGAACAAGCAGAGAGTCAAGGATGCAGGCGGCGGCGGCCGTGAGAAAGCAACGGCATCCCAGAGAAGATGGGAGAGGGAGTGAGGTGGAATGAGAAGAGTGGAGAGGAGAGGAGATGAGTTGAGTTGCGCAGACGGACGCCGCCTCCGCAGCATTTCTTGTCCGATTGTGGCCCGATCTCAGCTGCTGCGATTCGCATCCGCATCACTTGTCAGTCGTCGGCGAGCGGTCGTCTCTTTCAGTTCTCTCTTGCTCCGTGAAGAATCTCGAGAATCTTTATCCACTAGACACTCGAGGAGTAAATGTGCGCGAGCCTAAGTGAATTAGCCCACAATTGGGGCCCAAGTGATATATTTACTGGCATATGTACACTGATTCGTTTTATGTAGTGACATCAACTCTTTCCAAGACACCACGACACGTGCCCGGCACGCTCCAATGAGACAGCGTAAGTTCCGTTCCCCCATTCAGTGATCTATAAATATCGTACTCTGAATAGCATTTCCTCCGTCTTCTGTGTGCATCTGCCAATTGCACAGTGCAACGTCTAGTGATGCTTTTATGCGCCATTTTGGAATAGTTTCGGTAATTTGCGCATCTCTAAACATTTTACGGCCGCGTTTACTGTCGCATTGCGAAAAATCAGAGAATCTGAATCAGAGAGAACCACAGAGGCAGGGAAATAGAGCGCTTAGAAAGTGCCAGTGCCGGAGAGAGTGCAGATAATATTTTATAAATAAAGTGGCTTCCCCTCTCTCTCTCTCTCTCTCTCTCTGTCTTTCTCCCTTTCTCCCTCTCAAGATCTTGCTGTCTTGTCTGTGCTTTTTCCTGCGGCGGCTGTCGTCTTTTACACATGTACAAGTATCTATATATTTATATTCATATATTCTATGCATATATATATGCCACTATATGTATCTTGAAGTACTTTCATCTGCGCGATTCTATATTCATTTTTGTATACATATTTGTAGTGATTTCTGTGTCGCCCATTTCCGTTTGTTGTCGTCATTATTTTCATGCTGTGGACTGGGCGACTTGGCGACCAACAGTCCTCGAAAGATAAAGATAACTTGTCTGGTGGATAATTGCACAATACTTTTGGATGGGGAGACTTCTCTTCTCTGATCGTACAATGTTCATTAGGCCGGTGGGAGCCCTGACAGAGCCCTTATCAAAGGGTAATTACTGCCTTAATCGATAAGTATTTCCACTCATTAGCCAAGCTTGATCTCAAGCCAACAGGAAATAAGTTCTTATCCACGTACCTGCCCATCACATGCTTCTGAAGGAACCTGCCACCTTAGAGTGCGCTTACTTTTAATTACCAATCTAAACGACAAGCAACAGGATGCCACCTCAGCAGCATCCGGACATCCAGCTCCTGGGCTGACAGACAGCCTTTCCGCCATAGAGAACGCCTTTCACGTCACGGCACGGCCCGGCCCGGCCCGGTGACTGGGAGAGAAGCTGATAAGTGCATTTGTGTCGCATCCGTTCATGTTCTGATTAGATGAAATTACGAACGCACGCCACCAGAGAACCAGAGAACCAGGACCCAGTACCCAAGGCTCATCCCCAGAGCCGCCCCCGAGAGCAGCAGCTGCACTTAAAATTGAAAAAGGAAGCGTGGTTCAGGCCAAAACTGACGCACAAGCTAGTACTCGGATATCCCGCCTGCAATCCCCCTGCCAGGCTATCGCAATGCTGCTGCTGCTGCTGCAACGACTGATGGGGCCAAATTCAATTTCCAGCCGCTTGCATTAATTTCCCCGAGTCTGCCTGCCACCAGAGTGCGCCAGTGCGCCAGTGCGCCAGAGAGCCAGAGAGCGAGGCCTCTCCTAGCAGCCACCCAGCAGGCCCCCCCCCTGAGCAGCAACAGCTTTCGACGGATATCAGCGAGTGCTTAAGGGAGGCAGCAGCGAGTGAAGGGAATTTCCGAGCCCGTATTCGTGTCTGTATCCTGAACGCAGCTCGATTTCAGCGCAGGATATTCGTTTAAACTCCGGGAGATGCCGATGCCGATGCCGATGCTGATGCTGGCCGGGCGATGAGAATTTCCCCTATTTTCAGTCTTCGTTTGACGAGCGACGTGCGCGCAAGTAATTGGCAAAAAACGCGGATGGACGGACCGCAAGAGCAAGAGCAGGAGCAAGAGCAAGAGCAAGAGCAAGAGCAACAAAACAGTACAATAAACCATACCAAGAGCAAAAGCAAAAGCAAAAGCAAGAGCCAGAGCCAGAGCAAGGGCTTGGGAAAATGTTACAGCAACAGCAACAGCAGCATCCATGGCAGGCAGCATACTCGTACTCGTACTCGTACTCGCACAAATGAAAATCGGAGAGAAAACGTGAAAGTTTTCCTGCATTTTGCTGTGCTGTAAAATCGTGAAAAGTGTTCCATTTTCGGGCGTATAAAATAATTGAAACTTGAATTTTTTACATCCGGATTGTGCGAAGTCCGACAACGAAACAAATTAAGTGTGCGCTATGGTAAATGCGATGAAATATGAAACCAAACCCCCAGATAAATGTAGTTGGAAATAGTTGGTGGGGAAGAGTGAAAAGAAATATGTGGAAAAGTCAAAACCACATCAAGGGATTGCCAAAAGGGAAAAAGTCGATGTGAAAAGTCTAATGAAAAATTTGTTGAGCTGCAGGGAAAATTTCATTATTCTGCGCGTGTGTGTGTGTGTGTGTGTAGTATCTTTTGTGAGCCCCGTCTGCTATGTATCTGTGAGATACGCAAAACAATTTGTCTGCGCCATTAGTAGCGAAACGTTCCTCAGCTTTTGCTGTGGCATGTGCCTGTGTGTGTGTGTGTGCGTCTGTGGCTGTATCTGTATCTGTATGTGTATCTGTATGTGTGTGTATTCTGCGCAGTCGACGAAAATGAAGCTGCGTTTCGCATTCGTTGCTGTGTGCCACACGGGACACAGCAGGCAGCAAGAAGCAGCAGTGCCAGGACGAATGGCAGCGCAATATTTGCGATGTTGACGCAGCCTGCCTCCCCCACATCCCCACTCGCTTCTGTTGCGGCGTCCCATTCCGTCCCGTCGCATGTGTATCCACAAAACACAGATACTCACTCGCACATCCAACATCCAACATCCACTATCCACCCAGCCACATAATGTTCAAGCAACGTACAT